TTTACAGCACAAATTTCTGTCACTTTGAGCTGCTTTCAGGGACTAGCCACTAGAGGGAGATAAAATATGAATTTTTCAATGCGTTTTGTAGCTATTTATTAAACATTGAAAATGGAAATCCACATTCTCAGTAAGTGAGCTCTTGTTTAAACATTTTCCCCCATAACATACTTCCTACTTCTCTCATTTCATTATTCATATCTAGTTGTTTTCTCTTCTTCCTCCATGTTGCCTGGGTACCAGCAGGTGAAAAATCTGAGTGCACCAGAATGTGTCTGTTCTCAGTTTCTGTACATGACTTTACAGTGGTACTAGTAGCAATGTGAATTGGTTATCAGGATGTCCTGCTTAGCCTTTATAGACCAGTAATGATGTCAGTTGCACTGACATCCTATAGGACTGGTCCTATAGTTGCACTCCTATAGGACCAGTTTGTTCCATACAATCTTTAGACATTTTAGTTGGCAAACTCTAACAGCAGGCATGATGCTTTTTCAGGAGCTGAAACCTTGGTCAAATGTGTGGCTTCTTCATTGGAATGTCTCTGATAGAAGGCAGTCTCCCATTGCAGATTTGAAGCCCTCTAGTCCAGTAGTGCTCCAGCATGTGGGCAAGATCCTGCCTGCAGAGCTGTCATCTGATTCTTGGGAACTCCTCCCTGGGTCTGGATATGTCATAGATTTCATAGACATTAGGGCTGGAAGGGACCTTGGAAGATCATCAAGTCCAGCCCCCTGCCCCAGGGGCAGGAAGTCAGCTGGGGTCATAGGATCCCAGCAAGATAAACATCCAGTTGACTCTTAAAGGAATCCAGAGTAGGTGCTTGCACCACCTCTGGTGGCAGTCTGTTCCAGGTCGTGGGGGCTTGGACTGTAAAGAAGCTCTTCCTTATGTCCAGCCTGAAATGGTCTTGGAGAAGTTTGTGACCATTTGACCTTGTCATCGCATGGGGCACTCTGGTGAACAGGCATTCCCCCAGATCCTGATGTACACCCCTTATATACTTATAGGCAGCCAACAGGTCCCCCCTGAGCCTGCGCTTTTCCAGGCTGAAGAGTCCTGTAGCTCTCAGCCTGTCATCATAGAGTGGCAGTGGGGTAGCAGTGGTAGGGTTCAACCTCGACAGCAGGGGAGTGGGGAATTGTTGCAGCCACAGCTTTCCTGCTGCTAGATTTCTGGACCTATGGAGAGCCGTGGGCTGGATGATGAGGCCCCCCCACACACATGCTGGATTGCCTTGCTCTAGTCTAAAGCGTATAGTTGCTAGAGGTTGAGATTACATAGTTGTAGAGCAAAACTTACTTTGGCTGACTTATTAGAAATGACAGTGCTGTGGTTTTTGTTGGTTTTTTTTGACAAAAAAATTGTTATCCTGAGCCAGACACCTGGCATGTAAAACTTCAGTATAGAATATTTAGTTTGACAGTGTCCTAAGGAACTGAAAACAGTTTTATTGTGGAAGACATGAAGCAGACTTAACTATGTAGTCTTCCTGAAATTGGGATGGACACTTAGCAGGGTTTTGTATGTACGCCTTGGTTACCTAGGCTTTCATGATGGATCCAGAGCTAGGACAATCAGGAGAGCTGGGTAGGAAACAGTCAGCACATCCTAAGTCTTTTGAAGATTTTAGTGTAAATCAGGGGAGAAAGTAGACAATCTTAAACTCATAATTTTCCAAAATGTTGTTGTTGTCTGCTAGTTTGGGCCCAGGCACAATGCATTCTGGTATTTATGGGAGTTCTTATGCGCAGTTATACCACCACATCGTGGGCCTAATTAGCTGCATTCTATTGATTGGGGAATGAGGAGGTCTGAGTTCTGATCTTAACTACTTATTGTGGCTTTGAGTGAGTTATCTAGCTGCAGGCTTTCTCAAGTTTGGAAATTGAGGTATGCAGAATTAGGGACCACTTCATAAAACGTTTATTTGCTTACCGTAGGTTGTTTTCCTGTATGTAAAGTGGATATGACACTTCCTTTTTAAAAATATTTTGACTGTTACCAGCAATCTAGACATGCAGTAACATGAGGCAGAGTCTGCAGACCTGCTGCTCATTAGGTATAACATGATATGCCTTTGCCCTCCAAGAGGTAGGGGCAGCTAAACTCCTCTTGGTTTTTGAGTGGCATTAAGGCTTCTCTTCTGTTACGAAAAAGGCAGGAACGATAGAAAATAGGTCCTCTCAGTCTATCCAAGTATTGGAGATGTGTCTGAAATGAGTGGTTTAGATATTCTGATCTTTTTGCTATACAGAGAATCTTTTTGATTCTTAGCAATTCCTCCCCTTAAGGGGATAGTTCTTTGCATTCTCAATTTTTATTTTTATTTTTATCTATATGTTGGATAGTTTCTTCCTCTTAGACCTATTATTTCAGGCTATTTGGAGAATCAAGTAGATCTCTCTCTGAGGCTGGCTGTAACAATGCCCTCTAATTCTTCCATTTCCTCGTCCAGGCATGTATCTCATTTAAGTCTGGACACTACCTTACAACAAAATGTGGACCAGTTTGTGTTGCAGTGACCCATCAAGGGGACACTGCAAGGCGGAAGACAGACGGCTAGTTCTAAATGTGTAACTCCATAAAGGGTATTGACGAGGAGGGAGTTTCAGTCTCTGGTTGTATGAGTGAAGTTTACCTGAAGCTGTTACTGATTAAAGGGAAAAAACAATTCTTATTTAAATCTGAAAAAGAATCGTATGACTCATACGGGAACACTTTTTTTCATTTGTAGGTGTTTATGCTTCCCTCCCACTTGACGTTTTTGGTCTGCTGTTAATCAACAGCAGACCAAAAACAGGTTGATTATAACAGGTATAATCAACCTGTTATAGGTTGATTATACCTACTCACGCTATCTTTTCTTCCACAGTTCCCCGACTGAACTAGGAAACAGTCAAAATAGGCATTTTGTTTCTTCTCCAGGCTGGCTTCAGGCTTGAGAATGCTACTGTATTGGTTTGCTCTAGCATTTCTTCCAGAACTGGAAAAATTGTTTAGGGATGCACCGGTAAAGATTTTCTTGGCTGATATTAACCAGTCATATCGGCCAATACCTATCCAATAACAAATTTGGTTTCATGTAACGCTGGAGGCTGCTGGAAAGCACCAAAAAAAAAGTTTCAGTACTTTAAAATGTACTAACACAGGGGTTGTCCCCTGCAGCTACGTGTACCCCTGGGGGTACTTGGGAAAGCCCAAGGGGGTATGCAGCAGCGCATGCGAAGCTAGTGGCATAGAGAAGTGGGGGTACTTGAGCTCAGGAAAGTGGAGCGGGGCCACTGCTGCCATCCATCACTCTGTGCCACTGCCAGGTGCTGCTTTCCTGCGCCCAAGTATCCCCGCTTCTCCACGCCACCGGCTTTGCATGTGGCTGACCATCAGCATCAGTCCAGCCATATATGCAGCGGCAGCGCTGAGTATATAGGTGGCCACTGCGTGTGAGCTTCCTGCGCCACCACCACGTGCCGATGGGGGCGGGGAGGTTGCCAATGGCTGGCTGGCCAGCCACGAAGTTGGTGGCACAGAGAAGCGGGGATACTTGGGTGCGGGAAAGCAGTGCCCGGTGGTGACAAGGAGTGTATCGATGGTAGTGGCGGCCATGTGTGAGTTCCCTGTCCTGCCGGTTCCGCATCTGACTGGCTGTCACCCGTCCCCACCCCGCTCTCTGCATCCAGAAGGGGTACCCACCAGAAGAGGTACCCTGCTTTAAAAAGGTTGAAAACCCTGTACTAACATAAATAAACCTTTTTTTGGTGTGCTCCAGCTGCCTCCAGCATCACTTGTATCAGCATCCCAGCACTTAAAAATGGTGGTGGGGGCTCTTGAACTAAAGCTCATCAAATGAGTTTTAGTTCAAGCACCACCACCACCACTTTTAAATGCAGGGATGCTTTTAAGCAGGACAGAGCCGAGTGCAGTGAGCCAGATGTGGGCTGCCCACTGTAGACTCAGGGCTCTTTGCCCTGCTGCCTTTGCCCCAGGAGCCCCAAGCTGGCCATGTGTTCCCTGCCTACCATGCCTTCCCCAGGGGGTGTGCACAGTGGCAGGGGAGCCGCCCATGACTCCATCCTGCTTTCTTCCCCAGCGTCCTCAGCCCCACTCCCTCCCTCACCATGAGGGCCTCTATCTGCCCCCCTCACACCCCTTCCACTCCATAGATTCACCTGCAGAGAACTGCTCTCCATGCTGCCCAGCTGTTTTCCTGGCCACGTGCATGCGTGAGGCTGCTTGCATGCATTTGATGCCCCCTGCATCTTGCTCCCAGCAGCCCCAAGCAGGACCCCTTGCAGGGTAGAATGCTTCCTACCTGAAAGGGGAAACCCACCATTTCCCAAGGGAACCCAGGCATCTGGGGGCCCTGGCCCTGCATGTGAGAGGGAACCCAGGTATCCGACGACCCTGGCCAGAAAGCATAATTGATTATATTTGTCAGAGAACAGCATAGGTTACAATGGCCAAAAAAGCTGATAGCCGATAATGTACATTTCCCTTTTATCAGTGCTGATCTGATATGCAACCAATATATCAGTGCACCTATAATTATGTTTCTTTAAATAAAAGCTGAAATCTTGAAATGCAACACGTCAGAGAGAAATTCTGTGGTTGTGGAATATACAGGTCATGACTAATAGGAGAGGTGTTATTGTTTACATTAATGTTCTTTTTTTTAAATTTAATGGTAGATGAGCCATTGTGTTTCTTGTAAGACAAAGATTCTCTGTAGCAATATAACCTTACACTAATTTCAGATGCTTTATTCAGATCATTCTTAATATATAAATTCTTAATTTATATATTTGCATGAATTCTCTCGATTTTTTTGTTCGTTTCAAAAATTTAGTTTCATTCTTGCTATTCTGTAGTCTTACTCATGGTCTAAAATGTACTTGTCTACCAAGCCATTCTTTGTGTAGGTCACATGTTAACTAAAATAGAGATCCCTGACACAGTAGTACTTTTGCTGATGGTTGTGGTATTTTGTGTTTGTGTTACAGGCACCAAGTTTAGATGAAAAAGTAGATCTTCACTTTATTGCATTAGTGAATGTAGGCGGTCATCTTTATGAATTGGGTAAGAACAGTTTCTTCCATGTTTCTCTTGAAACAGATGCAAGTGGTAATCTTGTAATCTGTAATAACATTAGAATGTGAAATTACAATAAGTAGTACGATATTAGTTTAAAATGGACTTGGGTTTGTCTTTCTGGCAAATAAGTAAACTCATCCTGTTAATTTTTTTAAGAGATGTGTTTATGTGATACAAAAATATCATTAAATTACAGCTGTACTTTAGAAGAGCAGGAATAAAGATGCCAGTGCTGTAAGATATTTTCTTAATTGAGAAAAAAACTTAAAATTATGATATTACTGAGAAAAACACTTTTTTTTTTTTGTTTAGTTTTTTTTAACTTCAGTTGAAGGGTTTTTTTTTCCGGTTTCTTGGAATAAGCGACTGAATTATTTCTCTGATTATCATGTTGCATAATACAAGATAGATGTAGCTAAAGCCATGATACTAATACTATCAGTCAAAATGAGAATTATTCACAAAACAAGTACAAGTAGCATACCAGGAATTATTAACGTGACATTCAGTTATGGCAGGCTGGCTTTATTTTAAAATACCTTTTTTCTGCATAGTATTCTAAATAGCAATAAAACATCATTTTGATCTGATTATTAGCTTCCTCATTTAAAATATTCTGGCAATTTTGCTGCAGATGCAGCAGCACTAATTTCTGCTAGGATTCTTTAATACTCTTAGTTTAATACTTGTTGCTGGGCAACCAGCCTTTCATTTCAGACACTTCAGAAGGCTAGTTGAAGCAGTGACTTGAAGACAGCTATCAGTTGGAAATGGAGTAGAATAAAGACAGCATATCATTCCCAGTATAGTGCATTCCCCACCACTTAAAATGCCCATGGCTAATAGAGGGTAGCTATTTAGGCCCCTGGCAGATGTTTATTTAAATGCACAGTGGGATTTGAGGAATTTTATCCCAGATTCCAATAACTGTGTGTCCTGCCATGCCAAATTTCCAAGATGTAGCCCAGGGGGACGTGATTTTGGGGATCTGGCATAAAGATTTTTCTGATCCTATCCAGAGCTTTAAAGGCTTGGTGGGCAGCCTAGTACCAGATAACTGTTTGCCAGTGGTGGGCTGCCAAGCACAGCTTTAAACTTGCTAGCAAGGAGCGTAGGATTGCAATCCTGGCTCCCTGTCACCCTCCCAGACCTTTAAAAGCCATGCCCAACAGACGAGGATTGGGAACTGGTCCTAGATGTTGGGCTGCCCAATATGACTTTTATTCTTGGTGGCATGAAAGGAGCCCAGCATCTGAGACTGCCTTCTCAGTTTTGGGCTCCCCATGGGAAATTTAAATGAGTTTGCAGGCAGCCCCGCATCAGAGATTAGCTCCTGAGCCCAGCGTACGCCGAGCTCTGAGCACCTTTCAACATGCCATATGTATAAATTGAAAGTGCAATACAAACGAGTCACAAAGATGGTTTAAATTGCATTATGCTTTAATTTGAGTATGTGGCATGTTACAGTTTATCACGTTTAACATGTTAATCACACAATAAAATAACACCTGCCAGGGATTTTATTTCTGGCAAATATCCCAAGCAATTTACTACCCCTGTAGATCTCGGTTATAAAGTCATCACTTACCCAGTTTTAAGAGTGCCAGCTATTTCCTAGTAAATTTGTTTTGCTTGTCTGGTTCGCTGCTGATACCAGTTGTAGTTTGACAATTTGACTTGCATGTAGCAGTTAGCACAACCCACCGGCCATAAATATAATTGATTCTACTTTATTATTGTATAATGCCATATACCACTGCAATTAATAAAATATTGAAAATGAACACCTAATTTAACAGCGTTTGTAAACTGCACCGATTCGAGTCTATATAATATCAAGGACACTTGAGATGGACCATTATTAAATAGCATGTCTTGTTCATGAGAGAGAATTTCTAAACTGTTTCATAGTGGGGTAAAAACTATAGGATGCAATTGCCATATTTACTCGGTTCTGAGTAAATTAACATGGGGAAAAGCCCCTCATCCTTAGAACTGAGTATGAGGACACTGGGGAACAGGTGCTGCAGTGCCCTGGGTTTCAGCCCCTACCTGGAGTCGGGGCTGCAGCTGCTGCTGCTGCATCCTCCTGCCCACCTCTGCTTGCTGTCATCTCCTACCTTCAGCCTCTTTCTCCCCCTTTTTAGCGTCTGGTCCCCTACCTTCCCCCCCCCACCAAATCTTTGCTCTGTACTGCAAGTTCTGTCCATGCTGCGGCCTGGGGCACTGAGCACAGCCCCAGCTCGGCCTACGCAACTGTTACAGGGTCAGACTGGGGCTAGGGAAAAGTACTGTGTCATCAGCTTTTGCCCACTCTGACCAGCCTGTGGACCTTGGCAGGCAGAAAGCCGGGGGGAGAACCACAAGATCATAAATGCTTGTGCTTTTGCCATGGAAAACCATGTTGTTTATATACAACTGAAATACAAATGTTGTGCCAGAATGAACTTAAAAATTCAATAGTTTGCAAAATAGAGTGGCATTCAATTCTCTTTCTTGGAATGTGTTTCTCTCT